TGCATTTTTACGCTATATGTACTGCCTTCGTTTCGCATTTTCTAGAAATAATTTCGTTCAGTTGATAAGAGTTGTTTACCTTTAGAGTTAAGTTCGGCAACAGTTTTTAAAGGATAAAATCTGATGCATACATTTATTTCTCTTCTAACTGCGAACGATATCAAATGTTACTCTCGATTTTTCAAATGTTTTCATTCATTCTTAGTTCTTTCTTTTTCCTAAATTCTACTTTTAAACACTTGGATTCAGAGCAGTTTTGTTTTTCTACATACGTGTCTGTAGGAAGACGTGATTATTTTTCATTTTTTTAATTCCCTGAGGAATTTAAATTAAATAAGCTGTGAAAATAAATATTTCTAGTTTATATCAGAACTTAGTATATTTGGCTAAATTTTATTCAGACAAGTACATAAATTGCATTAAATGTATTAAAAAAACAACCAGACTGACAGCAAACAAGTACATAAATTGCATTAAATGCAATGAATGACACAGTGGTCATTTTGCTGATTTTTCTCCTCGCTTAAGATTATTAAGATGAACTAAAAAGACATAAAAAGAAACTGTTTAAGAAACTCTCTTTCGAAATTTCCTTTTCTTAACTGCAAGATATCCGTTTTTATATTTAAGTATAATTCTAGGCATCTATATTTTTCCCATTTGGATAACGGATAATTCAGATGGCCTGAGGTCATTTTAGTATTAAAATAATTACATGGAAAAATAGTCATAATTTCCTTCTTCAACAATTTTCTCTCAAAATTTACTTTTTGGGTTGGTAAATGAATAATATATTTAAATGCTGCTACAAAAAATAATTTCATTACCAGAAATAAAGTATTTGTAGTTTTGTTATTCCGAGATGGCTGAAACATTATTGTATTTATAGCGGTAACGTTGGTAAAATCAGAATTCCTAAATGCAATTTTTCCCATTAGCGGCCGAGTGGTAAAGTCTCTGAACACTGGTAGTTTAGTCGGAGGCTCGAATCCCGCGGACGGCCTGTCTGCATGGGCGTTTTAGCTGTTTTCCTTATGTGTAATGTGTATACGAGCCATTTCTCTTAGAAATTCCTCACCGAAAGCCTCCCTTCCCTTAAGCAGATAGCCCTTGATGCTTTGCCGTAATAACATAAACCAAACTAAATACAATTTATCTCTAAACTCTTGAACGCCACAAATGAGTCATGAAATGTGTTTTTCACCAGTTTTACTTTTACTTGTCTAGTGGCCTCAATCTGAATGCTGAAGCCGAGAAATTATTTAATTAAATTTAAAATAAGACTTGCCTTAGGTAATTATTATTATTATTTATGTGTTCCGCCCTAACACACTAGACAGAAGGAAGGGTTGCCTTCATGGAAGACTTTCTAAGGGAAACTGGCTCTTTTAACACGTTACACATGGGGAAAACTACGAAAATGCACATGCAGCCAGCCCATTCCCACTTCACACAGATCATGCATCGTTGACTTGACTGTCAAATTTCAAGAATCTCGAAGGCCAAACAGCCAGATGGATACAGAGACTCCAGGAACATGACATTACTACATATCATCAGAAAGGATCATCACATGGAAATGCCGATGCCCTGTCTAGAAAACCCTGACCAGAAAGCTGCCAGTATTGTTCCAGAATCAATACAAAATGCAATTTAGTTAATCTGGGACATCAAGTTACAACTTCAACATTGTGCAAACCTGCCCCATGGAGGGATGAGCCAGAAAGAACAGAAGAAACACTACATTATAGGAGAACATTGCCTTCGATATCCTGGGACCTCTGCCATGATTGGCTGATGACAATATATAAATTCTTCTTGCCATTACTTTAAAAAGTGGCCTGAAGCATATCTTATCTCTGATAAACAAGCTGTCACAGTAGTAGAAGTAATGATACAGAATTAGATTTCCAGGTTTGAGATGCTTCTTCTGTTACATTCTGATCACAGAAGGAATTTTTCAAGACGTTTGCAGATATGTAGGTATTTTGCATAACTCAAAAACAATTAGTCGTAGGATGCTGAAATTTTGTGTATGGGAGTACTATAACATCTAGCTGTGCACCTCCCTTTTTTTATTGCAATCACAGTACCAAACATATATATATATATACACATATACCTGATTCTCTTACCAAGCTTAAAAGTAATTACACAGCTTTTATTTTCATAATTGTTTGTTGTAGTCATATATTTCCAATTACAGAAGTGTTTTAAATGACGAAAATCTTCAAGTTTTCTCAATGTCAAATTTACTTACACCTGGGAAAGATTTATACTCGTTATGAAAACATTAAAATAGTATAAGTTTGACTCTCATACAATAAAAATGTGACTGGGATTTTTAATTTCGAAATTTGCAGTTTCAATGCCATTTTCAACCTACTTTGAGGAATCATTTAATTAAGTTAGAATAATTCGAGGAAATAAATTTAAATGAAGTGCAGCAAAAAAAATATATATAATTTAATAGCCATAAAAGGAAGTCAATGTGGTGTCCACATCAGGTTTTTTACTGTAAGGCATAATGAAATCAATCAATGGAAATACTTTTATGCCATACTTGGACTGGCAAAAACAAGACAAATATTAAATTTTGAATGATGAGAGAGAGAGTGCAAATTTACCTTATGCCTTCAGTATATAAATCTAAAAAATGTATTCTATTATTTGCTCCATCATTTTTGCCCCTCTAAGAAAGTGAGAATTCAGTTACTACAAATCTTCTTACAAAAGATTAAAATTATATTAGTTTCTAAACACCTAATTAAGCTGCAAAAGATTTATTCCAGCTGTAAAGAAAGAAGTTTCAGATAAACGGTAATTAACCTAGCCAAAGGTATGATATACCATACATGTATTCTTGTGAGATAATATACATGTATCAGCAAGCTTTCACGAATTTCCCCCAAACTAATAATAATTTCAATAATCAGTCATAAGCATTTTTAGCAATGAATAAAACCACTGCCCTCCAGAAGTTAAGTAAAAGCATGTTTTTCAAAGCTCACTATTACAAAAAAAAAAAAAATTAACGTTTAAATTTACAGTTCATATGTATGACAGTAATGAAGTTTAAGAAATTATATGAAAAAAAAAGCTGCCACTTTTATTTTATAGAAATGAATACTTATATGAGTTAGAGAAAAAATGCAAAAATTGTAATTTTTGTTCACGAGTGTTGATCTTCAGTTGTTATAGTTTTGTGGACAATATCCAGATGAGTCTATCAAATGTCCAGGAGAAGTCTTTTGCACGAATCGTTGAAGTGGTGGGCGATCGGATGGATGGATGGGGATGTCACAAGCTGATGCTGCTAGACATATCAATGTCTCTCGTAGTATGGTCCACCGACTATGGAATAAGTTTGAATCCAAGGATTCTGTGTCTAGAAGACATGTTCCAGACAGACCTAGAGTTACAACAACTGCGAAAAACCGTTATTTAGATCTTTTGGCCCGAAGGAGGAGTAACATTACTGTGCCTCAGCTCATGGCAGATCATTTAGTGGCAACAGGAACAAGAGTCTCAGCTACTACAGTGCACAGATGGCTGCACAATACATGTCTGCATGCAAGACGACCAGTTGTTTGTGTCCCCTTCATCCGAGGACACAGAGGTGCCCATTTATGTTGGGCAAGAGAACATGTGTCCTGGACCAGTCAACAATGGGCATCTGTTCTCTTTACAGACGAGTACAGGTTCACAATGGAGAGTGATTCAGGTAATCAGCTGATCTGAAGGGAACAACACACTAGATACAACCAATCCCACACTGTGGAAAGACACAGTTACAGAGGTGGTGGAATAATGGTCTGGGCTGGGATCTCTCAGTGGTCAAACTATCTGCACATGTTCCATGGAGGAACTTTGACCCTTGAACTTTGAAATTTGAAGGTGTGAGATATTGGGACCAGATCCTTGATCAATATGTCTGCCCATATGCCACAGCTATTGGTCCTGGATTTCTTTTGATGGATGACAATGCATGACTGCACCGACTTCGGGTTGCTGAAGACTATCTTGAGGGTCACAGTATGAAGCAGATGGAATGGCCAGCTCAATCCCCAGACCTGTATCGGATAGAGCATCATTAGGACTACTTCGAGAGACAGGATGCTGCTAAGTCCTCCTCCAAGGTCATTAGATGAGCTTGGAAAAGGATTACTCCGCTGGCTGGTCATTGCTTCATATTTCATTAACCAACAACTTAATTGACAGCATGGAACATCACTGCCACCAACATATTGCAGCTAGAGATGGATATATTCCTTATTAGAACCCATTTTTGTAATGTTACCACCTCATTTTTTTTTTTTCAAAAAATTGTGATATACTGTTTCTATGTGTATACTGTGTGTCATGTTTCTATTTAACTATAGAAACATTCTACATCGCATTCATTAAAGAACTGTTTAGTGAACATGTCCTGTAAATTTCTTGTTTCTATGTTGCTTCATTTTCAAATTAGACACAAAAACATATAACCCATTTCTCCCGCCTTCTTAGTACGCCTTCATGGTGTAGTGGTTAGCATACTCGGCACGTATTCGAGAGGTCCATGGTTCGAGTAAGGTGAGGGTACTGCTTCTTTTTCATCTCTGCTTCGAAAATACATAATGTCTTTACAGTGGCACCCGAACTAAAAAAGATGGTGGGTGATGATTTTCTGCCATCAGGATTTGGCGATTGGGTTTCCTAATCCTCAGTCGCCCTTTAAAAGGGGGAGTATGAAGGCATGCTAAGAAGGAGGTATTTCTCCTGCCTTCTTAGCATGCCTTCATGGTGTAGTGGTCAGCACACTCGGCAAGTATTGAGAGGTCCGAGGTTCGAGTTCTGGCATAGGCAGTGCTAATTTTTCAAGTCTTCTGCTTTCAAAAAATACCTAATGTCTCTACAAATATGCTGTTCCTTAACTTTTGGAGGGCACTGTATTTCATATTTCTCCATTATCCACATCATATTTCTCCATTATAAAAAGAAAAATGATTCTACATATAATAATTATATAATATACTTTATTATAAATTCATCCTATACAAATTATCATAACATAATTTTATATTTTAACAATTATAACAACATCATAGCATAATTTCGTATGTTAACATGTATAAAAATTATCAAAACATTTTCATATTATAACATAATTTCATATGTTAACATACATAACAATTATCATCATAACATAATTTTATATGTTAGCATATATATCAATTATCATGACATTTTCTTATTATAAAAATAAAGGCATTATGAATAAAAAATTTCAATTTATATATACTTATAAAAGAAAGACACACTTATAAAAAGAACACACACATTTATAAAAAGAAAGGTCCCTTTATTCACCAATTACTTGTGATTCAAAAACTGTCCTTATATTGCAAAGTATTGCTATTCTGTTCTTTTGATGTAGATTTTACATAACTCCACTGTGTATAAAAGTGTTTAGCAAATGTTTGTATATGCTTTATATGTTGTTTTTTATGTCATTAAATGGTATTTCACTTTGAAATGTGTAACGCTACTTCTTTGTTTTTAGGAGTTACCAAAACAACATTACATAAACGTTATTTATTTTTTTACCTTTTCTGAGCTAACCTTGTAACAAGAAATTATATGAAAACGTTGAATGGACAAAAAAAGAGATGCTTCAACAACTCCAATTTACTTGCATTTTCACATGGTTTCTTCGTCAGCTTCTGTTCGTTTTGGAGCAGGCATTTTGTGCACTCTGATGTAAGCAGAATCTTTCATAATGGGAATTTCGAGAGGTGATAGAAATATGAACTGCACATCTGTTTTTTGCTTGGCAACTTCTGTCAAGTGAGTGAAACTTAAATGACGATTTTGCGAGTCCTAAAAAGAAAAAATTTGAGCAATCAAAAATTTCATCAGGCACTAAAATATGGAACAAATAGATAAAATGCACGGCCCTGACACATAAGGCATAGTGCTAAAAATTTCTTTTGTGCATTAACACTCTGAGCATTACGGGTTTATCCCTGAAATTTCAAAGTTCCTCAAAATGTCATGAATAAGTGATATTTTCTTGATTTTAATTAAAAAATGACTCTTTCATTTTGTACCTTGATTCCTTTTCTTCCAATATACATCCAAACTGAAATCAGATACATTCAAAGCTAGCAGAAATTTTCATGTATAATGAATGTGGAAGGCAACCTTCTGTACGGAATTTTCCGGCAGTAACGCTGAGAGAGTTAACAGTTCAGTAAATTCAGTGTTAAGTTCAGAAATGTTTATAATTTTATTAGAAAGCTCTTACATGCACCTAAGCCAGTCAATAACAAAAGAATATGACAACACAAGGTTAATAATGTTACCAACAAAGTATGAGACGCCGGCAATCTATAGAATATCTAGGCATTTTTAGAATGCTTGACATTTTTAGGCAAAGTATGAAATATGAGAATTATTATATACTTTACCTAGGCATTGTATATAATACCTAGGCTTAATACAGAATGATAAATGCTGTTTAGGCAAAGTATGAGAAAGAGGTCATGCTAAGGCTATTATTTAAAAGACATCCATTGCTCCGAAATACATATATTATTATGAAAAAATAATGAAGGGGAGCCACTAAAAAACTTCTTTTCAAAACATATGCAGAAAAATGAAAGTTGTAGGAAACATATGTCTCAATATAGAAAAAAAAAATCGTATGGAATTTAGAAATTAAAATTAAGCCATTTGTTGCAACATGGTACGCTTGAATAACATTTTGAATTCATTTCATTACTTTTTCACTCAAACACATTTCATGTTTCAGCACTTTTTTTACACATGACGAATCCTTGGCCACCTCACTGGACTGAGCAACTGCAGTTGACCAGAGAGGAATTTTGTGGTCGGGAATATCTTCCAACACTAAGCAAGTTCTTGGAACATAAAATGAACTATGATCTCGTATATAGCTGTTTTAAAATACTTTCAGAAGTTCCAAGTGGATAGAAACTATCCTCTGTCACACCCATTACAACTGCCAATAAATTGTATGAATTATTACATACTTTCCAAAGGCAATGTGCATAATATGGAGATGTATTTCATATTCTGGCCATTTGTCATTCTATACAATGCCTAGTCAATGTGTGAGACGTTTATCATTTCATACATTGTTGGCCAGTTTTCGGCATTCTTTAACCCCTTCGCACCGACTGTCACGTATACGTGCCAGCAACGAACGCACTTACCTACTGGCCGACACGCAGGCGTGCCAGAGGATTGTTCCATTCTCTACCGACTGTCACGTATTTGTGCCAGTACCTTGGAATGTTTCTCAAACTATAATTTCTGCCACAAGATGGCACTGTATGTACATATGGTTTCAGATACATGTAAATTAGACCTTCTACTCGAAATGAGAGAAGCATGACTCACATACAAGTGTTTTTGATTATATAAACAAACGGGGAAATAAATGTTTCCGAATGGCGTGATTTATGACGTCTCTTTAAATCGCACTTTATTTGCACGTGGCAGTTGTTTATTGTAAGTAGAAGTTTTATATGTGCTAAAGCGTTGAGTATTTCGGTTTACAGTTCAGTTTTTAGAAAATAATTAGATCTTGTTAGACGTGAATTCTTTCTGTTTTTACCATTTCAATGTCGAAGCGTCGAAAATGTTTAACGGAGCATGAAATAGCAGAAATGATGCAAAATATTTCAGATATTGATTCTGAAATTCTGATATTCTGATATTGATTCTGAAAGATTAACTGAAAGACGTTTTCCAAAACTTTGTTCAGAAGAGACTGATAAGAAAATGAGACGACGATGCTTCGTTTGTTCACATTCCCGGAAAAATCCTCCAAAACGGCAAATGAGTTATTACGAGTGCAAGAAATGTAATGTAGGACTGTGTGTAGATCCCAGTTTTCAAATTTTTCATATGAAAAGAGAATTTTAAGTAATATATTTAGTTTTCAGATGTATAATGTTAAAAGTCATAAAATGGTGAGTAATTAAAATAAAATGTGTAAAATATGCATTTAAACAAGAAATAAGGTAATTAAAGTATATATATAAAAATATTTATAAAGCATAAGCCGTTTAAATACTCTATAGAGCATTATTAAACAATGCGTTGATACTTCGGAAACTTCATGGATTTAGGCTTAGTAACAAAAAAGCCCCCGGCCCTGGAGAGATGCTCGCGTAAGACACTGCCGGCCTCAGCGATAAGCGCGCGTTTTCACTACCCAGCTCGAAGGGGTTAAAATGCCTAGTTATTCTACAGAATACCAGATTTCATACTTTTCCGGTAACAATAGCACTAATAAAATGAGGCCATATGGTTTTTGAAGCAGAAATATGCAGTTTGCCTTTAGTTTTCCTTAATTATGCAGCGAAAATTAATGATGAACTCGGGCTCCCGAAATCAAACCTCATTCATTAAATACTTCAATATGAGAGAAGTGAAAATGTTATTCACAAATTCACTTTCAAACACATTTTAATCGAGTTTTATTATTTTATTTTTGGCACTTTTCCTTTATCTACATGGAATACCATAAAATTGTAAGAATGAATAATATATAAGAACACATAATAATTCATAATAAGACAATTTAACTATAAAAGGGTGGAAGGGGCATTTGTTAACGTCAATTAGTGATGATTTCAAGTGGAAACTGCCTGTAGACTCTATAATGGAACCAAAATAATTCCTCCCAGTTGCTTCTTCCTTTTTCCAAATAAATTCTGACAGATAGAGTGAGATGTTGCCTTGCCACACTGTGTCGTATTTTATTTATTTGTTTACCCGATCCCCATAAATGCTTGACAGTTTGCGTACGAGCACTTGTTTCCGCATCTACAAAATTATACTTGTGGTTAACATTCAGATGGGAATAGACAGCTTCTTCAGGTTACTGAGTTTTGTACCATTTCAAACAGTCCGAATAAATCATGGTTCCGTGGTTAATATTTTCCGTGATGCATCGCAAAAGACAACGTGCTCCTCGGGTGCCACTACCAGAAATGTTTCTCTCGTCTCTCTGCAAATCCCAACAAAGTTCAATGTTTTATGGCTAATCGTTTTAGAGTTTTCCGAGATATATACATGCATACGTATAATCGAAACATAAATTGTAAAGCTAACAAGTAATGAGACGTAAGACCTATTTGGTCTTAAAAATTTTATGTACAGATATCTTTATCCTTTCTATACATCACACAAAAAAACAGCAAAATGAATATTTCTGTTGAAATAAGATACCCAAAATTTTTCACAATTACAACACTTCTTACAAGGAAATAATAAAAATAAAGGTAAAATTTCTTGTAGACACATGTGAGTATCTAAGACAGCACATGAATGTTTAAATGCTAACATTGCACTGCACTGAGAGGTCTAATCTATATCCCACATAAATGTATACAACAATGTTTTTATCTTGAGTCTTTTTCTTGAAATCCCCACTATAATTGTGTTGCATATATCTAACAATGCACAGCAAATGATATTTATAATCACTCACTAAGAATTTCTAGTCATTAGAATTTGGAGTACTCTTCTGTTATCGGGACCGCATTCAGAAATGTATATATGTATACATGTGTTCATTGTATGCGTGAATATATGTATGTGTATATATAGACACATACAGGCAAACATTCCTGAACCTAGTCCCGATAGCAAATGAGTACCGAATTTTGAGATATAGTTCAACCACCTCATTCGCGACCATGAGCGCAAACACACATAAGCTATTCGGACTGAATTATTCTGAAAATAGGGTGGAAGGATAGAGGCTTTCTGTCCCTGGAGTATATAAACTCTCTTTTTTCTGGAGAACAGAAGACTTTCACATTGGAACATGTAATAACAATCTTTTTGGACGAGTCTACGTGTTTTTGCAGAATGCCAGTAAAGTTTGCATTGGAGATGGTCGAACTATAATAGCATCAATGAAATTCTGACAGCTTTGTGATCCTAGTTTTCTAATTTTAGCTATGGGTTCTGAACATGTTCAGGCATGAGAAAATGAAAATGAAACCCGAAACAAATCAGATTTATTTTTTAATTATGGAAAGTCTATTAAATATTCCCCTAAAATTGTCAGTTTTATGCATATAAATACCTAAATTTTAATTCTGATACAGCTTAAATGAATTTTAGCAACTTAATTGTGATAAGAGTTACATGTTGACTCTAATTACTTTCATAGACAAAATATATGTAAATGTTATTTTTCTCAGATAACTGCTGACTGAATAATAAATTTTGACCATTTTATCACAAAACTACTATTATCTGGAGGAGATTTTATTTAAAAATTTTTTCTTGTCTGATGATCATCTTGTAGTACCCATGTCGAAACGTGAAAAGCAATATAGCTGGCAAAATTAATATTTTCTCCATGAGAAAAACATGGAACCTGATATACATATGGAAAACTGAAAGAAAATTAGGTAAAAATTTACAGTTCTTTTAAAATTTTATAGTTCTGGAAAAGAATTTTAGAATGACTGCAAAATGATAGTAATTTAGCTCCTGCAGGAGGATGCGCAGTGAGAACACAACGTTGAAGAACTAATGTAAATTTATTCCAGTTCATTCAATTTCCCATAATAGATTTAAAATTGAAAACGTGTTAAAAATACATCGAAAAAAGTTATTTGACCTTAATAACTTACCATAAAAATATCAAATTCGTCTAAAATTCGGAACGGCATTTCAAGTCCTTCCCATAAAGACAACAGAAAGCAAATGCTAATGAAAGATCTTTCTCCTCCGCTAAGAGCATATAATGTTTGAGCATGTTTATCAGATTCACTATCTCTTGGAGCAGCCTATAAATATAAATTTAAAAAGATATTTATGAGCTTTCAAACATTTTGTTTTCGAAAAACTGATAGGGGATGTTAACAGGAAAACAAATTAAGTACTTCATGAAAAATACTTTAATTTGAATTGCAAAATATAGGGCAAATATAATGATAAATCAAAAGCCGTGCATGCACAGATACTCATGTTATAATAACAACAACCGAAATTTTGCCACAAATAAAAACCAAACAGTGATAGAAAATGGTATAAACTCAGTTTAAGAAAAATACAAAAATGTCTAAAATGAGAGAACTGAAGATCACATTTTTTACAAAACATAAATATTGGAAATTTAGCATAGCAGATGTGCTATCCAATGTTAAAGTACTTTTATTTCAAATCAAGCAGTATCAGTACCCAAAAAGTATGCTAATCTAAAACTATTATATACCGAATTATATCCAAATAGCTGCTGCCACTTAAAAGTCCCCTCTTGATTCTTTAGGTATAGATGCAACGATCATGTTAATTAACACATTACCTTATGATTTGATGTACAGGGCATTTCGAAACTCACGGCAAAAATTTAAGGGGTCATTGAAGGCATTTCTAATATGCGTGTTTATCACTTCTTAAATTTTTACCCATGGGTTTCAAAACACCTTACACACTTTCATTTCTACTTTTTGTTAGCTTTCACGTTGATGTCAGTGAGATAGATGTATATAGGAACACAGTTCTTGAGTGTTAGAGAGACTGGGCATCAGCCTCAAGGGAAGACTTCCACAAATTCAGGTAATACAGAATAAGATTCTGTATTACCTGATAAGAAACAAACTGATTCATGTGAACATTCTCTTGTGTCAGATTAGCTTTGATGGAATAGACCTAGTTGGTTTCAAGAGTATCAAACCCAAAGTTCCAAACAAGGCATTAAATGTCGGGACTAAAAAAACAATAAAAATGATAGGCAGTTAAATATTACACAGATATCATGTGAAGTTAAAAACAGAATGCGGACTACTATTGAATTTGAATAATTATAACAGCCTGCAATGGATTATCCGAATAACAGTATGGATAAGGAGTTTGTTCATAATATCAAACCGAAATCTGAGAAGATAAAAGGATTCATGACAAAGGAATTAGCTGAGGTTGAAAGATTCTGGATAAAATATGTTCAAGAAACAGAGTTCCAAATGAAATTAATACAATTATCTCGAGAAAAGGGAGTGAATAGATTTTCTAATTGATTGCCCTTGACCCAAATTTGGAAGAAAATGGATTTGTACGTTTAGGCAGACAGCTTGAAAATTTATGTTTTACTATTAGTCAAAAACACCCGTGGATATTTCCTGAAAAGCATCACTTTACAGAACTGCTAATTATGCAAGAACATCAAAATGTGTTGCATTCCGGGGTTTCTGACATGCTCGAACAAATCAGAGATCGTTATTGGATACTGCCAAATATATTATATTGCCAAAACATCAAAAAGGTTTTGAACAATTGTTATAAATGTAAAAGGTTTAAGGCATGCTACGGAACTCAGACAACAGCTCCATTACTTCTCGATAGAGTTAAAGAAGCATGTGCTTTTGAGGTTATTGAAGTGGATTTGGGCCATTGTATGTGAAGGGTATAAATGAAAAAGCATACATTGCCATTTTCTCATGTGCAGTAACTCATGCTATTCACTTAGAAATGGTTTTAGGTTTAATAAGTGAGAAATATCTTCTCACTTTCTTATGTTTCATAGCAAGATATGGATTATCTAAAGTCATTTAAGGAGAAAATGCAAAAACTTTTAAACAAGTAGGATATGATCTCTGAAGATTATGGATGTCAGTTACCATTGATCAGGTTATGAATTATTATGAGAAAAGGGGGATCAAGTTTAAATATATAGCAGTAAAGGCTACTTGGTGGGCGGGGTTTTGGGAGAGGATGGTACAGATAATAAAAGTTTGTTTGAGGGAAAACTCTAGGAAAGGCTTTATTATCTTACAAAGAACTGCAAACTGTAATAATGGAAATTAAAGCTATTGTTAATTCTCAGCTGATTACTTATGTATGATTACTTATGTATATAATGATTCTTTTGAACTATCTTCTCTAACTCCTTCTCATTTCTTAGTAGGCAAAAGACTGACTTCTCCACCTAATCTAGCAACATCTACTGACCATGTTACCTAAAGCATCCTGTAAAGGTAGCTATCTATATTCTCAAAGCCTGCTGAATAACTTCTGGTGCAGATGGCACAAGGAATATTTACTCCAGTTGAAGACAGCTCATCATACAACACTTCTTGACGTTGCACATAAGTTCCAGATGAGTGATGTCATTTTACTACAAGAGGACAAGTTACCTTGCTATATGTGGCAGCTTGGAAAGATTGTAGACATTCATAAAGGAAGAGATGGAAAGGTGCGCAGTCGCACATTGAAGACCTCAGGATGTTAAGGAGTTAGTATGTTAAGGAGGTCAGTGCAATACTTTATTATTTAGAACATTAGAAGTTTGTAAATGTATCTTAATTTAATTTTATATGATTTAATCTTTACTTCTGGTGAACTTCTTCATCCCCGGAGGGGGGGGGGAGGATGTAGTGGAAATTATGCTAATACAATGCCGTCTTGCTACAGCATGCATCATATAGAATTTTAAACAGGTCACGATTTTGTACCAAGTGCTTCTTTTTCTGTCTTTGCTTCTGTGGAGGAACCTGATTCAGATTCATCCCCTGATGCCCAAGTAACTTAATCCTGTTGCATTTAATTTCCATCGCCAAAAGGGTGATGCTTGTGTATAAAGAGAGCTGCTCATTTTGAAAAAGGAATGCTTTATTGCTTACCCAATTGTTATTATTTGGAGTCAGACAATCAGGGAATTTTCAATACAGACCACAAATTTCACAGATTCCATTTGAAACCGAAACAGTACATACATACAAACATCAGTTGCATTTTAAATATCAGCTAATAAAAACACAGCCAAATTAAGCTTTTTCTTCCAAAGAAAAAAAGAACATGGTTAAATATATTTACAAACTTACTTCTATAATTAATGTTTCCTGATTATCATCAAAAATAAGGTCTCCAACAAATCCACTTGAATTCAGGTAAGTAATGAAATTCATAGAAAGACAAAGTTTCGTATTCTTAAGAATGTTTGCAAATTTCTTGGATCGTTTTTCCATCATCTCATTAATTTTCTAGATAATAAAAAGAGTGTAAAACATTTTCACAAGCTTTCAGACAGGAGAAAGAATAACAATAAACATATATATGTCAACAGATTTTATTAAAAAAATTCTCACAATAATGTATGATTCTATATGTTCCAAGTCGGATTTTGCATGCTCCAGTTTTGCTGTTTTTTCTTCATATCTTCGTTTTAGGTTTTCCATCTCACAGTTGCTAATAATAAAAAGCACATATATTTAATGTTTTTATATGCATATGTATGTACAATATTTAAACTTTATTTCCGTTTTTAATGAAGAAAATTTCTCTCTTTATATCCTTAAAGATAACGGCTATTTATCTGCCACACTTCTGATGCATTCTGATTTAAATTAGCGCAATCAGAAGTTCCTCTTTAAAGACCATGATATATCTCCTCTTTCAAACGCATTCCGAAATCATTATAAATGTTAGCATAATACAGACATATTGGAAAATTTGCATTCTCCTTTCATCAAAGCAATGCTGAAAAGGAAGAGACATGCAATGTAAATTAACTGATAATGACAGGAATAAAATACAATTGATATTTAATGAAAAATCATTAACAGAATTTTGTACAAAAGCATTAGTACACATAAATTACAATGTTTGGCAGTTACTTGCAAAATAATAAAATTAAAACCAGACTTATGGAAAAATTAAGTTCACCTCTCATAGAAAATAATTTTCTTTAATATGGTTATGTGGTCACCTCGTACACATATGCATCTTCATTTCATAGACTTTATTTAAGTGTTGCTCAAGTGTTGTGGAACTGTATACCACTCTTCTCAAAGTGCACTTTTGAGCTCCTGCAGGGTACGAAGAGGAATTTGGGGTGCTGGAATTTGGCACCCTAAGGCATCCCACACATACTCAATCAGGTTTAAGTTGGGTGTGTAAGGTGGCCAATCCATTAGAGTGATATCATCTGACACTGCATATACTCGATAAGGCCAAGCATTGTCATCCATTAACAAAAACTCAGGGAACAATAACTGCATCAGAAGATCATTTCCTATCACTGTCGGCTCGAAGAAACCACAAAGCGACTACAAGAGATTTGGTTTTAGATCATCAGGCTGCCATGGAAATTCAAATTAGCTGTTATCAGAGATATGTGGATAAGGTAATGGAAGTTCAAGTTATACTGTTTAGAGGTGCCAACAGCACCTCTAAACAGTATAACTTGAGCTTCCATTACCTTATCCACATATCTCTGAGCAGTTTCAGAACCTCCTTGAAAGACGCAGCTCGGTGCAGCCATTTATCATGATTCCCTCCCAAACAAACACATTTGCAGAAATGGGGTATTTCCCATACAAGAGAAGACAGGTTGCCTGTTCCTATCTCTCTCCAGATCAAAACACTTTTAGATCACTGTTCAGATTGTATCTTTGTTAATCAGTAAACAAAACTCACACCCAATAGTCTTGGCTCCACTGGAAATGATGACAGTACTAGTTTTAAATGGGCCCCTTTGGAAGCTAAAGTGAGTAGGACACAAAATATTGATTTTTCTCTACAGGCAAACCTCGTTAAGCCTTCATGCAGCAGTAGAACAGCTAATTTGAATTTCCATGGCAGCCTGATGATCTAAAACCAAATCTCTTGTAGTCGCTTTGTGGTTTCTTCGAGCCGACAGTGATAGGAAATGATCTTCTGATGCAGTTATTGTTCTTGGTCACCCTTGATCAGGCTATCTATCAACCAATCCAGTGCTTAAAAAGTGACTCCAAACTCTTGATATGACACTTTGAGGAATATTTAAATCTTGGGAGAGCTGCATTTGTGTTCGACCTCTCTCGATTCTACCAATCATTCGCCATTTTAGACCTTCACTTAATTCATGCCTTTGAGGCATAACTACTGAATACTGATCACTCTCAAAACAACATTCATTTTAAACAGACTACAGACTGGAATTCCAACATGTACATTGCGCACCACACTGCCAATCATCGAATTTGCATATTTCTGGCACTGACATATGCGTGAAAGTGCAATTTTTTGTTCAATTATATTTAATTAATATAAATAATTACAGCACTGGGCACTAATTGCAACACTTAGTGAGCATATTTTTCTCATTATACTTTAATGTTGAGGACCAGTGTATTTTAACCCTAACTGAAGTCAGACTGGTGTGGTTATCCTTGTAGTTAACTGTCATGGCTATGGTTGTAACTTTCTTGCCATTGTGAAGAGATTTACTAAGGCACGGAATGTAGACATGGATGTAGCTGTTGAAGATACAAACAGCAGTAAGGAGTCCTTTAGAGTATGAGAACCCAATCCAGCCCATACAACTAGGTAACAATGCATTGATTCGTAGTCAAGTACTTACCGATTGATATACAGTGTCTGCCAGTGAAGCAGAAAATTTTAAAAGTCCAATAGTTCATTTTCTCACGAAGGGGCATGGAAATTTTGGATTATTGTTTAATGTCATCTGTTAAACATAGAGCAGTAGTCCAGTGTACAGCGTGCATTCTGCATAAAGTAAGATAAAACATTCACTACATAGACAAATCCATTTTAAAATTTAGGGAGCTTGTTCTGTAAACAGTTTGAGGAAGAAGAAAATTACCGTAAATATTTCTCAGAACTCAAAACTCTATATGGAAGTACTCTAACTCTCATTCTGCATAATTCTGCATTTTATAAGAATGGTGACTGTGTGACTTTAGTCGATATTGGAATCATGGGTACTTTTCTGTTTCGCCAGCGCAAATCTCGCCAAGCAGACTTTATTGGCGACATACACATAAAAAATGTTAACAAATGTTGGTTCTACGAATTTTTTATTTTGGAAGTGTAAACATTTTAATATTGTTACAAATCTTATAAAAAGACAATAAATTTGTAAAATGTCATTAATTTAAGAATTTACAATGCGTTCATGGTACAACATCCTGATTTGCCAGTTCATATCACGTGACCCCAAGTGATCTCATCTCATAGGAACTATGCTACAAAAATCTAATTCTCTCAGTAATTATCTACATTAATTTCAAGTTAAATCTTTTTTTGGAATACAAGTTAAATGCAAGGATTATTTTAATTCGTACGAATAGCTTACTCAGAAATGATGTAAAACCGCAGTGCTTTACTTCGCTAGTGCATTCTCATTAGATTTGATGAATTTAACCCTTGACTTTGCCTTTTCTATATTTTCGGTTTCGGGTGAGCAATGTGATTGCATCCTAATTGACTTAATTACCGCGAATGTCCTTAGGGCATAAAACTGAACTATCTGGTAAAAATTCTATGTAATTGTATGCCAGTATTAAAAGAAACAATGAACCTGATAAGAAATGGCTGTGACTTGTTTTGAAAATGAGGCGTAAAAGGTTACCAGTGAGGATATTCCGTTTGGCATGGGTTGCACCATTAGTGGCAACTTTATCACCTGCACCGGCAAAACGGAAAAGTACCGAATCATGAAAATCAGCTGATTTGCATGAAAAGCCATTGCAAAGTGTAAAAGTTATGGTGTGGTATGCACTTTCATCATCTGGTATCATATTTTTTAGACTATAGAGGAAATACCACAACTGTTAATCCAGACCGCTAAAGACACATGGTCAGAAGATTTTTGATGCAACATCTCCCTAGGTTTCCAGAAATTAATTCCCCCAGCAGGATACGGTCACAAGTCATACATACTGTCAATGACTACTTTAACAGAACTCTTCCTGGATAGAGTCCTTCAATCTTCATATCCAAACATGGTGACATGGTAGCCTGCAAGATCCCCAAATTTACAGACTGAGAACTGGATACTTACTAACTTATAGACTGAGAAACTGGATAAAACGAACTTTGAAATATAGCATTTTCAAGTGAAGGTGATTTAAATACAGTCAAAACTTTGGGAAGTCCATCAAGACAGAAACTTGTGAAGTAAATCAAGCCAAACAAGACAAATGATTTTATAAAGACACAAAAGCTTTAGCAATTATTATTCTGAACATGATATAATCATACGAGGTCATGCACATAAAAAATATAAAACTTTTTATAAAATGTGTGAGAAATTACATAAAATTTGTGAGCCCAAAGGCCGTACAGAAGATGTTTATACATTTTTAGAACGCTTTCGAGGCCATTTAATTAACATTTAAAATGTAAAGAGTATTTTTTTTTAAATGTTCATTCTGACTGCCTTTTTCCTAGATTATAAGTTTGAATCATGATTTCCATGGTTTTCATAAAATTTCCAGGAGTTTTGATTTTTATTTCTCTTTCTGGATTCCTTTATTCCTTCTTCCTTTAACTTTTCATATCTCTATTTTGTTTGTGAAATTAAAATAAATGATTCTTTTCTCTTCTGTAGTGAAAAAATATTTTCTGGAAATTAATTCTGTTATTATCTGATTCTTGACTATATTATACATTAACTTTCCTTTTCACTTCCTGTTCAAGTTCTGCTGATATATTCATCTCTCAAGCTAAATTCCAACATTTCTCAAGAATATTTTCTCCCATCTGGTGTACTTGTTCACCCTCGAAATCGATAGAATCTTGACAAAAGTGTACAAGGTTGTTCAATAAGTTCGCGGAGCGCCATCTATTCATCAATATTAGATTTAAAACTTCGACGCCATTTTCATATTTGTTCTTTCTTAGGAACACGTCAAAAGTTTCATTTCGATCTGCTAATTTATTCATTGCTTAACCGCCCTTTATATCTAACATGTTGTGCCTTTTTTCAGGTATGGATAAAATTGAGCAACGTGCAGTTATCAAATTCTTTGTAAAGAAAGGTTTAAAGGCAATGGAAATTCATAGCGAAATGGTGAATGTGTTGGGTGAATCTACTCCTTCAAAAACAATGGTTTGCAAGTAAGCTAGTTTATTCAAAAGTGGTCGTACCAGCCTTGAAGATGATCCGCGAGAGGGGCGTCGAAAAACTGCATCAACACCGGAAATCATCGAAAAAGTACAAGATATGGTATTGGAAGACAGTCGATTGACTGAAAGAGATTTAACAGAGGTTTTAGGCATTTCATTGGGCACAGTGAGCAATATTTTGAGTGTTAATTTGGGTTTCAAAAAACTCTGTGCAAAATGGGTGCCGCATTCTCTAATGATGGAGCAAAAACACATTCAGATGCGACTTTGCCAGCAACATTTGGAGCGTTTTAAGAAGAATAAAAGCGACTTTATCTGTTGATTTATCACAATGG